GTCAGTTCATTGTTTGCAAGTACATGTGTTTTTACAATAATTAATTTACACGAATTACATTCTATGATACATTACATTGTTGATACTTTACCAACTCAATGTGGCTAAAGCATTTATTACCAAACCTTCAGCTTTGTAATTTATTACCATAAATTAAATACAAATCATGGCACTTCAAAGAAAAGATGATTACTTTTGTTACAAGATATCTTCTTGCTACAAATATGACACACGTTTTAGTTCCTTTATAAAAGCGTGCGTAAATATGATAGCTCTCACGTATAGCTATGTCTTTCTAGAAAAGGATTGCTTTCATTTCGCAATAAGATTTCATTCTTTCATTACGTGACTTGCGTGATGCAAAAGCACTATAAAGATACGTGATAACATGTATTCCATCCACCGCAAGAGAGGTAAATGCACTTGACCTAGAACGCTGCAAATTTTACATAATGAGTTATGCTGCATTCTGAACATTTTTGCTGCCTGTGAAATTTCCAGTCAGCTAAATTTTTGCTTTGGAATTAAGAAATTTTCATATAATTGTTTAAGTAAAATATGTTGAATAGACTATTCATTAACGTGGCAGTTTTGTAGCTGTTATTTAGAAAGCCATAAATAACTTACAAATGAACCACTAAAGGTGACAATAGGTTCAAAAAGGAAAAAAAGGAGTTTTAATTCTATATGGCCTGATTAGGAGTATATTTCATATCTAAAATAAGTATGAAAGACACTTCACATGTTTTGAGATAAAGTTGGGAACATTACGGCATTTTTGAGCAGAAAATAGGAACATCAACTCTGCCCTCACGAGAATTCGAACATGCATCATCTAGATCAATCTAGATGTGTTAATACTAAAGCCACTAAGACACAGAATGGAAATGGAAAATGCAATAATTCCTTACACTCTTCCCCATTTAAAAGGAGATTAAGAAAAGGTACGCCACTTAGGTCGAACAAATCCAAGTAGTGATGAATCATCATCTACTATACTTTAGTTCAAGCTCTATTGTAAAGACATAACAGTTTTTAATCAGGGTACTGAAAAATTAGCAGTGCTGTCATAGGGATTCGATCCACTGGTTTTCCTCTGCTAAATGATGCTTCATTCTCATAATTTACAACACAAGAGCAAACTCAGAATAATGTGAAAATTTCTTGCAATCGCATAAAATAAGGAAACGCCGAAAATACAAGGTCATAAGTGTGTCCGCCTATAACAAACATTAAAAAATTAACATTTTCTTCCCTTGTATATCAAATTTTCATTAGAAATCAAGGTACATTATTTTCTAAAAGAAATTACAAGCCAAAGTTTGCCTGGTAAAACAGTAGATATTCAATAACAAAATTATTCGACAATAGAAAATGTAACTCTATAGTTTTTCCCTGCAGTTGCACTTAAGTATATACCAGGAGAGAGGAAAAAAAGCTAATTAGATTTTTGGAAGAAAATGTTGTAGATACACAACGCACCTTTTAAACTATACATTATTTGTAGGAATACTAATAAAAAATGGTTATTTTAATTTTTGAACTTAAATTTTGAACATGAACTTTTCAACCTGACAGTTCAGTTTCGTTTATTTTATGTTTTCTCCTAACTGGCAATTATTTTGCGCTTCGAGGAAGGACACAATTTTCCATTCTTTTATATGAGTTTATCCCCCAGATATAATATATATTTTATAAGAGTATTGTGTCTTAATTTTGAATTTTGTGCTTATCTAGTTATTATAAGAAACAGAGAAATAGTAAATAAATGTTTAAAAAATCTATAAGGCATTTTGCATTTTAAACACAGTGAAAATACTATATTAATTTAAAATTGAATTCACGATTATGAAACATTACAAATAACATTGTAATACCAAAATAAAGATATCAACCTTTTTTAAATTCCTTTAATGAAAGATGTAAAACTAAGAATAACAAAATTCTTTCCTTATATTTAAAGGGGCTTCAGTTTATGTAGCTGAGAAAAGAGTGTAATAAAGATCAAATTGCAGTAGTGCATGAAGGACATTCTAATTTCTTAGTTTCATATTTTAAACAACTCTTACTTCAGCAGTATCACCTAATGCTGTAGTTTAAACGAATTTGAATTAAACAATTTATTACTAATTTTAATGATTTATTGATCAAATAGCTGGTAAGAAAAATATAAATGTTAAATAGTCGTGAATGTTATTAAAAATTTACTCCGAGAAATTAAAACTTTATTTACAAGACAACACAATAAAATACCACTTTATTTATAAAAAAGCTGTTATTTTATTTATAAAAGAATAAAACAAATCCTTTGACATCGCAAATAAAATTTCTGTGTCTTTTCAGTGCATTTAAAAGGGAAAAAGGGAAAATTCCAAGAAAAATTTTGTCATGAGGTAAATAGTATATAATAGCTAACTACAATGACTAAGAGCAGAAATTTGCTTTGCAATTTTAAGTTGCTTAAGCTAAATATAACTATTACAAAATTTTCGCTTTATATGATTGTTAAAATGTAATATAAAAGTATAGTCAGCATATATATCATGAAATACCAGGAAATATTTCAGGACACAGATGCAGTTATGGTCAACTGAGCGGGTAAATGAAGTTTCCATTACTTTTCGCTGTTCACAACATTTCACAGAAAGGTGAAATTCGAGAATTGAATTTATGGTTTTGTGAAGTATTAATAATGCTATGAAGAAGTATTAATTTGTTTTCCTTCAATGCTTTTATCGTATCGAGTATTCTGTACTTTTATTTCAATTTACTGTTTCCTTTGAACATTGTCTCGTCCAAGTTCCGTTAAATTTCGTTGAAAGCTTTGCATGTTATAGCAATAACAAGAAGAAAAAAGAATGTTTAAAAAAACTTATATATGTATGTATGTATATATATATATATAAATATTATATATATTAAATATATTAAAAATAACACACACACACATATATATATATATATGTTATTTTTACGAAAATACGTAAGAGCATTCGCATAGAATGTAAATTATTTTATGAAAGTTATAGCTCATTTCCCTGTTTCTATGACATATGATGATGATACAAAAATATTTTTTTTCCTTATTCATTTGTTGTTGATGACCAATGCATACATGACCGAACTTCCATTAGAAAGTGTGAGATCAAGCGTGTTATTTACAAGGTCTTAGTTATTCAACTGTATTTGTTAAGCGCGTAGAGTTCCTCACTTCGGAATTCTATGTTGGAAGTGTAGAATCTAAGAACTGATAAGCGAATAATCGCTAAAGTTCGGTGACAAGAAACAACAAGATAGAAGGGTAACTAACCCTTTATTATTCCAATAAGATTTAGCAAAACTCCGCCTGGGAGTGTACAAGCAAAGCCGCCCTTGGACTTGAACTTAAAAGGCTAAGAATTAAACTAAAACTAAGATTAACTAAAGAAGTATAGCCGAAGCTATCAAGGTTCAAATCGAGTTGGCCCCTTAACTTATTTGACTACGAAGCTTAGCAAGGGCCTGAGTACGGCCTAGCGTAATAACAGCTTTGAGAGAGTGGCCAAAAAGGCAGACGCGCGTAAATCAGAAACTCTGATTCTCTCTGACTCATTAAGAAACTTCATGGTTTGAATACCGCTCCTCTTCATTGAATATTCAGCACGATTCCAAAACTACGTTCTGGCCGGAAGTAGTAAGTTGAACTTAAGAATTTGACAGGAAAGGAACTTTAACTTAAAATTTAACTGTTAATAAAATTAATATAATTCTTACAAGCGTTTCTACAGAAATTTCCAAAAAAATAAAATCCGAAGTCTAAAGTGCCCTAGCATTTGGGGCTGTAGGCTGTAAAATTCTGAAATGCTCTGTACTTACAAAATTTGACCCCGATATCTAACTAATACTGTCTAGCATTAAAGATTTTGTTATAAGTTGGTCTGAGATAAGGCGAATTTTATTTTCCGTCAACAGTGTCAATTTGATACAGAACACGTCTTGCGAGAGAGAATGAATTTGTTATAAAAATAGGCTAAAAAAAACATAGGTTTGGTTTTGAGGTTTATTGCAATAAATTATTAAGTTTAAATCTTTTTTAAATAAAGTTTCAAAGACTTAAAATCTTTTAAAATGCAGTGTTCTTTTTTGTTTATTAAATTTTAAAGACATTATAGTATCAATTTCAGAAGCTGAATGTACAAAATTCAACGCATAATATATTAAGTACCTCTAGAAATTGTCATATGCATCTGCGAGCGATAATTGATGTGAATATTTGTTTGCTAACTATAATAAAAATTTGCATATTTATACATAATAATATTATTTAGATATTTGTACATAATAATATTATTTTTATATTTGTACATAATAATATTATTTTTATATTTATACATAATAATATTATTTTGATATTTCAAGCTTAACAGAACAGACTGTAACATTTCACTAAAATCGAACTCTATGTAAAGGACGCCTCAAGGATACTATAGCTATTCTTTACGCCTTTAATGTAAAATATTATGTATATTGCTACATTTTAGCATATATTAATGATATCTTATATCGTATTTCGTCCGTTGTCAGCTTTTGCTTAGAGGAAAGCAGTACCTAATGCTAAGAAATTAGTAAATAAATATGGCATATATGGTACATATATTGTTATCTTTTCATTTCTGTATGTCCTGCTAAAGAAAAAATAGAATTTTACACGTGTGCTATTTAAATATGGCATATATGGTACATATATTGTTATCTTTTCATTTCCGTATGTCCTGTTAAAGAAAAAATAGAATTTTACACGTGTGCTATTTATGCAGCTATAGCAGCAAATTAAGCAATTAATAAATTAAGTAATTAATAAGTTGTATATAAAAGCGCGCAGTAAAGCCAGTTTGCCTCAAATCTTTCACGCTACTACCTTGACAAGCAACAAACGGAACTATTCCTCTCTTTATCGACTTGGCTCATCGAACTTTGTTTGGCGCCTTTTTTTGGCGACCCTGACAAGTCCGATAGAGCCGGCACGCTATTTCATCACGCACCGCATAACCCTATCTCTGTATACAAAGGACGAGACGAAATAAGGAAATCGCCAGCTAGGAAAACCCTTTCTTAAATTGGAGAATCTCCGGTAAAGCGTGATTGGAGTCACTTAGTGTTTTAGCGCGGACAGACATGAATTACGAATGATCAGCGATGGAGAAAGACAGCGGCGAAGCAAGTGGGGGTATGACAAGGGTGAAGAGATTTACAGTTGCTATCCACCCTGAAAGTCGTAATGACAATGACGGTAAGTACTTTCATTTTAATCCTTTGTCTGAATTCCATTTCCATCACTTCATAATTAAACATCTACAGAATAAGCTTATCATTTGTCATGTAAAATATCTTCGCATCCTCTCCAGTTCAGCATGATTTGCCCCGGTTTAGAAGTCAAATGTTTGCAGAAGTTCTGTAAATCAGTAAACTTTGGTACTGGCGATCACTTAATTAAAATCTGAATGACTTCCCAAAGAGATAACTAAATAAATACACAATATACATTTTTGGTCAATATGTACGTTTCTCTTTGAAGCGCTTCTGTTTCAAGTATCATAAAAACTTCTGCATGCTAGTTTCAACGATAAAAGTAATTTAGATACCTGAAAGTTTGACTTCTCTAGCTAGTGCATAATGTTTTTGTGTAACCTGACTAAATTTTGCTCCGTAAGTAAGTTTTACAATAAAATCAAGGGTAGATTTAATCAATTGTTACATTTTGTACCGAAGCTTAGCGATCTATTTTTCATTCATATCATAATTTTGCCGGAAATCTGTTTTACTAACTTTCATCTTTAAGAATACCCTATATTCAAATAAAACTCATGCAGTATTTTATTTTTATATTAACTTTCTACAGTTCACAAATTTATTTGACCATTTGATCAAAAAATGCATCTTTGAAAGCTACTTTCCTAATCCAAACTTTAAAAATTGTTATGTACATTAAACAACTTATACAAAAAAAAAAAAAAAAAAAAAAAAAAAAAAAAAACAAAAAAAAACCTTTTAATTTTTATATAAAATTTTTGGAATGTTCCATGTAAAATTTGTAACAATTCTGCTATTTTTATGAAGAAATACAATATTTGATTAAGATTGTAGGGATTTGCATTTATTTTAACTAACATTTTAAATTTTAAGTTTACACTTTTCTATAAGCCTTCATTCCCCTAATTGTGAGTGGGAGAATAGTTAAATGTTGTAGCGAGCGTGAACGCATGCAAATTTTATATGTTGAAGGAAGTAGTTAAAAGCCGAGTTTTGATAGGAAAGGAGAAGCTGCCGTCTCTGCCCGTAGGTACGTTTGCTCATTTCTGGGTCAAGTGGCTTAATTTGCATTGCTTTACTGCCACTAGCTTAGAAGAGGGTTGAAGTTCGGGATCTCGCTGAGCCCTGTAGGTTAGTTTAGCACTTGCTAAACATTTCAACAACATTTTCAATTACCTGTCTTTCAGTTACCGCCCAAGTAGAGGCGAAGTTTGTTAGCGTCGAGCTGACGCATTGTAAATTTTAAAGAGTTACAAAAGGGTTTGAACCCTTCTGTGTAGTTTCCTGCTACTCCCTATATCCAGATAGATTTTTAACCCACCTGGACTCTACAAAGAAATGCTTAAAATGGGGGGAGGGGGTTGTAATATGTATTCATCGATATTACAAGAGTTTAGTTCGTTCAATAAAAAAGCAATTGCTGTTTGGAAATCTTGAATTTCGATGTAGAATTATAATCTTAATTGTCCATTAGAAATGCTGATTTCATGCTCTCATATATATGTTTGAAAAAGAAATGCACATAAAGAAGTTGTTAGAAATTATGTATTTCATAAGTAAAATCGGACAAAAATGAACGTCATTTAATACAGAAACCCTATTTTAAGTTCTGGAGCTGCATTGTGTCTTGAGAAATTTAACACTGGAAAAACAATACTTTTTTAAAAAAGTGATATTATGCTTTGTGTAAATTATGGAAGGCATAGTAAAAGCAATTTCGTTTGATTTAGAGTTTCAGTTTTACCTGGAAAAGCTTTGTTTTGTCTTAACTAAGAGGAATATTCAGTTCCTATTTTTCTTGCATGTTCCTTTATATCATCAGAAAAAAATAAAACTATACTTAAAAATGCAACTAATAAAACCTGTACGCCCACCAGCGGCCAAGCGGTAAAGTCTCTGTTCTGTCCGAGGTTCGAATCCCGTAAACGGGCTGGCAGTGTGAAATATTTCGTGGTTTTCCCCGTGTTTAAGGCGTATACGACCCAGTTCCGTTTAGAAGGTGTTCCACGAAGGCATCCCTCCCCTTACGCATATATCTCTCGAGGTTTTGCCGTAATCATATAAATCAAGCCAACTAAAACCACTGTCTACAGCTGATGGAAGTTTTAATACACCAACCTCGAGTTGACAATGTGTTTACCTAGATGCAACTGATGATTTACATGCAATATGATTTTCTTAAAACGCTTACTACCCAAATATAGTCAACACTTGTGTTGCATTAAATTCTGGTTGTCACTGTGTACAGTCTTTTAGAGTTATTCGAGGTCAGAAAATTGAAGAAATCCGCAATGCCCTTGCCGGGATTCGAACTTAAGACCTCCCGACCACGAGGCGGGCCTGCTTCCAGTTACACGAAGGCACGCTGAAAGGAGGAAGAAATACCTTATAATTGAAATCAATTCTTTATACTGGGTGACTGGGTGGTATAAGAATTTAAATGTTGCAAACTAACCGGTAGCAAATTATGAAAAATAACTGAATGAAAAATGTTTCTAATACAACACGTACCATATACTAATTTCGAACAGGTTACATAAAGAAAAAGCAAAGTCGGAATAGACAGTAAAATTCTTAGTTTAAAAGAAAAATAGCTTCGGCAACCAAAGACATAAATTATCACACGTACCATATACTAATTTCGAACAGGTTACATATTTAAAGAAAAAGCAAAGTCGAAATAGACAGTAAAATTCTTAGTTTAAAAGAAAAATGGCTTCTGCAACCAAAGACATAAAGTTTTTCCATCAAACAGCTAAAGGTCGCTGATTTGAAGAGCAAATTAAAGCTGTAATTTTATTTATTTATTTTTTGGTTTCGTTCAAGGGGGAAAAATGCTTAAATGCAGCATACACAAAGGTAGTCTATTTGGAGGAAGAAGTAATAATTTAAGACAACTCGTCCACGTTCATTTGTGCTGCGTAATAAAAGCTATAATCTATTAATATATTTTCAATTCTACTAAAAGTTTTCAATTTTAGAATTAAATTCTAAGATTAGAAGAATTAGAAAATTAGAACATTAAGAATTAGATTCTAATAGATTAATTTTAATATTCTGAGACAATTTTTAGATTTAATTTATTTAGAACTCAATTTTAGATTGGATTACTCAGTTATGGCAAAGCACACGAGGGCTATCTGCCTGAAGGGTGTTGGTGTATTTAATTATGGCAAAGCACACTAGGGCTATCTGCCTAAGGGAAGGAATGCCTTCGTGGAGGACTTTCTAAGGGAAACTGGCTCGTATACACGTTACACATAGGGAAAACCACGAAAACGCCCATGCAGCCAGCCCGTTCGCGGGATTCGAACCTCGGACCGAACTACCAGTGTTCAGCGACTTTACCGCTCGGACGCTTAACATACTAAGCATAATTTTTCAGTTCATGAAACTAGATAAATTAAAAGTAAATAGGATGTTTCTCTTTTGCTAAATATACTTTGTGAAATGCAGGTTGGAAACTTAGTGATTTGTATTCGTAAATGGATCTAAATTACTTCTGACAGAAAAGAGATCATTTTGATTTACGTACAGAGTCTCATAAATTTTACTTCATTCAACAGCTTTTCTTTTAAACTTTTTAGTGGAGATGATAAGATATTATTTAATGTTGTGCGACAGTTGTATAAATACTGAACTAAAATGTTATGTTGTTAACTTTTTTGAAAACTACAAATAATATTCAGTCTCACCTGTGGCGAAGAATATGATAGATTGACATTTGTAGTTTCACCAAAGTTTTAATCTTGAAGAATGGGTTGATTGTGTGGCGGTTTTCGCGATTTCTCTCATGTGTAAGCAAATACGTGCCAGATTATAAATTTCTCCACAAAGGCATCCTTAAGACAGGTAGCCCTTTTATGTGGTTTCAATTAACCAATCAAACAATCAGTAAATCGTAGTCTAATTTATTTTAATTAATCAGTAAATATTCTGAAGGAATAGGAAAATGACACAAACCATTTATTTAGGAAACTGAAATCTTTATTTTCTTAAAACCTTGTACAGAATAGTTGACAGGTACAATAAAATGCAAATTAATGTTAGGAAATAAAGCACACTTTTTTAATGAATTCAGTAGTACTTTTTATATATCACGCTAGAAATCTACAAAAAGAACCAATACATTTTCTAACAAGAGCTGATGTTCCCCTTCTCCCCCCCCCCAAAAAAAAATACTGCTTAAGTAGAGCTTGTGAAAATGCGCATCTGGAATCTATATTGTGGTTTGCTCTAAAATATATCTATTTTCATCTTTAATGTGAGGTTTCTCAGCTACTAAATTTCACTATCTGGTGCTAAAATTTTCCATTAGTAAAATCCATACATAAATGACATCCGAAAATCTAATTTGTTGCTTTGGGAAACTTTTTATGCGAAAGCACCATAAATCATGCTAGACCAAAATAGATCAAGGTCGCAAAGAGGAAACTTACTTAAATGCGTGTAACAAACAATGTAAATTAAGTAAATATATCAACGAAAGGTATCGGTTATCAATATTTGGAGCACCATTGCGACAAGTACGGAAAGTCACTAAATTTCATCTTAATGCCCTCTGCCATTTCGAGTAATTTAGCGTTTATTTCTAAATGAAATAAATGAAATAGTGTATTATTCAACTTACTTCACTTAATTCTAAGCTACGAGATGTTGTGACATATGAGAGTATAAGCTCTCATGCTTTAACTACTTTATTGTTAAATTCACCAGAAATACCTCGCCGCAAACTACGAGTTTTAAATTACCTGCAGGTTAAGAAGACTCTCAAGGGAATTTATTTATATTAAGTACTCACTTCACACATGAAAGTAGCATGTAAGCTCATAATCTGTGGCTGAATCTAATATCTAAGCTTCATATAGTTACATAAATGAAAATCAATTCAGATTGTTTACACTTTGCTTTGAAAACTCATTTAGTGCAGCCTGCATCTATACAATATTTTTGGACTGGACTCGATTATTTCATAATTAC